CTCAATGACTCGGTTTATCGATGTTTCGATATCTCGATGCAGTTGGCAAGATTATTGGCCTTGCTCTGCGCTAAGCACTCGTGGACTCCCATTTTACAAACGCAGGCTAGCAGTCCTCCTTTCGGGAAGCGTCGACGGGACGATGCAAAAATAGGGCGCGAAAAGCAACACGAAAACAACTCGTTAGTTCGGACCGCCGAATTTTCCGTTCCGTGTCTGGTCGCTACTCGACACACTTCGGCTTCCGGGCTGCACGGCGGCAACACACGCGAGTGCAGAGTGTCAAACGACGTACGATAATCAAAACATGGCGCAAAAAAAAACTAGAGTGGTGGCGGGGGACGCCAAACACAGCAAAAAATAGGCAAAACAACAAAAACAAGGCGAGGTGGAGAGGAAAATTGCGGCCCCCTTACCCACTTGGAGTGGAGGCCATGATTACGGATCATCCCGACAGCGTACAGACAGATTCCGAACAGCGCTTTCGTCGCTCTGTCTCTCTCGCACTCGTGGGGCCGTGGCGTAGGGGTGCGAGAGAGACCCGCAGGCATGGAATCGGGGAGAAGGAAGGAGCACACGGAGTGGCAATGGGAAAGGGGGGCTCAGGCTGTCTCTGTCGCACTCGCGGGGCGTGGCGGAGGGGTGCGAGAGAGACGGTCGTAAAGACACGGTCACGCCTCGAGCCGGCCACCCAAAGCCCTCCCTGCTCCCTGACCACGCTCAAGCAGGATTGTTTCCGAAGGCAGTCCACGCCCCTTCAAAGCCACTGCCCAACGCGGCCAGAGAGACAGACACTTCGGGGTCGGCGGATGGCCGAAAAAGGACTCGAACCGAACGTGTGACCCCACCAATGGACTCCTCGTTCGGAGAGCAATCCATTGGTGGGGTCACACGTTCGGCTCGAGTCCCATTTAGCGGCTCTGGAGCTCAAAACGCGTCCGGGATTTTGAGCGCCTCCTCCGGTCCGGCGGTGTGTCGCTCTGTCTCTCTCGCCCCCTTGCGGAGGGCCCCATGAGTGCGACAGAGAGAGACTGAATCGCTCGGCTGGTGTGGGAAGCGGGGCCGCCCGTTACGCGTGTAATCCCCGCTGGCCGGCCGCGCCGCCCTTCCCACAGACTCATGCGTACGCCACGACGCCACTTACGCCCAGCCGGCCTGGGCTGGCCTGGGCCTGGATCATGCGCACGCCACAATGTGGCACAACGGGGCCTTCCCTTTCGCCGCCTCGCCCCGTCTCTCTCGCACCCCGTCGCCCTCTGCACGGCGCCGCACGAGTGCGAGAGAGACGGAGCGACACGAGGGTCAGGCATCAGGCGGCCGCGGGTCGTCGGGGTGGTGCACGAGTCCCCCAACGACGCAGAACTCCGCCGCTCCGTCTCTCTCGCACCCCTACGGCACGCCCCGTGCGTGCGAGAGAGACAGACAGTCGCTCATTAGCACGCCAGAGTCACCTTGGCGGCCACTCATCCGACGACGTCGTGGAGCACGCGCTTTTTGCGGCGACCGCCGTCGTCGTCGTGGTGGAGTATACACTGCGAGTTTAGCAGTGTAGGGGCAGTCAAAGGCCACGCGCGCGAGCAGCTGAGCACCGCGAGGCACCGCGAAGCGACGCGAAGCGACGTGAGCACCGCGACGACGAAGGACTGTCAGAGGGCCTCTCAGTATGCGCGCCTCGCCCCGGCGCCCCGCCCCGCCCCGCCCCGCCCCGCCCCGTCCCGCCACTCAAAGCGCGGATTACCCAGTCCCAATCCCACAGCAGTTACCGGCCGCCGCCGTTTGAACACGCCTTAAGCCCTTACACGCCCACGGCGTGCGTTTTGTTTTCGTTGGCAGGCAGCCCGCCGCGTCGCGCCGCGTTCCGCTCGCTTCGGCGGCACTGCTGCACTGCAAAGTGTTGCACCAGCCGCGTCGCTCTGTCTCTCTCGCACTCATGCGGCTCTCCGTAAGGGTGCGAGAGAGACAGAGCGACGAATCACCGCGCGGTGCGTTCGTGTCTCCGTGTCATCAGACGCAGAGCGCGGCGCCAACGGCTAGATTACCAGCCGTCTCTCTCGCGCCCGCTCGGGACGCCCCGCGAGTGCGAGAGAGACAGAGCGACGGACACGACTCTCAGTGTGCTGGATGACCACCAAGTCCAGGCCGAACGGCGCGTGAGTGCACCGCGCATCCGGCCGTACGATGCAAGTCTCGAGGTGGGGACAGAAGAGTACACTCTGTGGCAAAACCGAAGGCGGCCAACCCTTGCAGTGTGCCTGCAGTGTGCCTGCAGTGAGCCTGCCCGGGGCGGTCGTTGAACCGCGGGCATAAAGGTGCAGCCGATGCAGCGGAGAGTCGTCGCTCTGTCTCTCTCGCACTCACGGGGGCGTGCCGGCGTGCCGCACAGGTGCGAGAGAGACAGAGCGACTCTGCAGGCGATGCAGCGCCGCGCTCACACTCTGTCGCTCAACGGAAGGCGGTGGAGAGGAAGACGAAGAGAGGGGGAGAGGGGGAGAAAGGAGAGAGAGGGGGAGAGAGAGGGGAATGGAGGCGCAGCAGCAGCAGGGCACCACCGCACGTGTGAGTAAAGAGGGCCACGGACTTTGGAGGTGCAATCAAGCCCGGCCAAATATCTCAGGGGAAGTACCGTACGGACAAACACGTTGCGCTTGGGTGTGTGTGCGTGTGTGAGTGTGTGTGAGTGTGTGTGAGTGTGTGCAAGCAGTGTCCGCGTCCACACTATGAAATGAGCAGGAACATTCATAAAGGCATGGAGATTGGTGGAAATGGCCCGTTTGTCGGGGTTCGAACCAGCGAGGGTGCGCTCCAAAGTCGGAAACGTCCGGCCCCCGATCGGGCATGCGCGGCACTGCCCCGACGCGACAGCCTCACGTCGCGGCGCGTCGCGGCAAAGTAATGAACAACACGGGGTTCCCTTCCAAATGGCCACATCGACTCACATCGACTCACCGCCGCCGTGCGAGATTTAGTACTTTGGTATACGGTCAAAGGGGCTATTTCGGGACATCGCTCTGTCTCTCTCGCACTCGCGGGGCTTTCCGCAGGTGTGAAGCCACAGACAGACAGACAGAGAGGCGTCTGCAGGTGTGCAAACGAAGCTGCAGCCGAAATAGTACTGCCTCAACGACGCGCGGAAATGTGGCAGACTAACGGTGGAAAACCACGACTCGGCCGATGGATTCCCCGTTCAAAGGGCTCCGTACTCCGCACGGCGTGCGGTCGGTGCGAGTCCAATTGGAAGCGCGTCTGCCGTCTGATTCCGAACACTGCTTCGTCGCTCTGTCTCTCTCGCACCCCTACGGACCGCCCCACGAGTGCGAGAGAGACAGAGCGACGAGAGCAGAGCTCGGAATCAGACGGCTGCTGGACTTGTTGCGTCCGCCGGCCTGCAGACCGATGCCACAGAGTCCGTCTCTGTCGCCCTCGCGAGGCGCCCCGTGGGGCCGCAGGGGTGCGAGAGAGACGGAGCCGTTTTGCGGCCGGAAGGCACACTGCGGCCGCTCCTCCGGCGGGCCGACCGAACCATCTTTTGCCGGAATCGAAACACCGAAAACCGCGCGCTGCGGTCGCCGCTCCGTCTCTCTCGCACTCGTGGAGCAGAGCGACAGTCTGCGGCGAGTCTCCCATTCACTGCCACGTAGGAAGTCGGGAGGAAACAGTAACTTGGTTGAATTTGCCATTTTTGATTGGGTTGCGCGTCCCGGCCGCATCATGTAGTACTCCACACGGGATGCTCGTTTGCGTATGGCTCGCTCGCTCGGTCCGCATTGTTGCCCTCCCCCCTCCCCCCCCTCCCCCGGATGTGGCCCAACGGCACAACCATGGGCCCAACGCGCACAATGCTCGAGGCTCGCGGTCGGCAGACTGATTCGCTCAGTCTCTCTCGCACTCATGGGGCGTCCCGTATAGGTGCGAGAGAGACAGAGCGACGACTCTCGGAATGAGTCTGCTAGGCCGATGCATTGCGATGCATTCTTGTTGGCTAAGGTCAAGGGCGGCGGGACGGTCCGACGGCCGCCGTCAATGCACTAGTAAAACGAGTAAAGCGATACTTACAGCGTGCCGGCCACGCCATTCGCACGGCGGCACGGCCGGCGGGGCATTTTCTCATTTTCTCATAGCGCGCGGCGCGCAGCCCAAAGCCCCGCGTGTCTCAGACAGCGTTCCCACGGAAAAGGGAAAAAGGAAAAGGAAAAGTCATCCGGGAGAGAAATTGAGTGCAGGAAGGAAGCTGGATCCGACGACTGCCAAAATCAGTTCGGAGTTCAAGAACACCTCGTCTTTTTATTTTCAACATTCGCCCAGACCATTCGTTTTTATTTTTCGTTCCAGGGAACGACTTGGACCCGTCGATGCACTGTTTTTTCGACAGCAGCAGACTGATTCCGAGAGTCGTCGCTCTGTCTCTCTCGCACCCTTACGGGACGCCCCACGAGTGCGAGAGAGACAGAGCGACGACTCTCGCAATCAGTCTGCTGGGTCAAAGTCAGAGGGGCATCCGTCCCTCGACTTTCCAGTGGGGTGGCGCGTTATCGCACTGGCCAGGACATCTGGCAAAGCACGTCGGCTATTTTCCACCAGACTTATCGCGGCTGGGTTGGGCCGAGTCGAGCGTGAAACAGCGTCCCTCTCTGTCTCGCACTACGCGTACCACGCACCGCTGCAGCAGTGCAGTGGCAGTGCGGTGCGCAGCCCTAAGGGGCCCAAGGGTCAACGCGGCGGCCGGAATGTTCCGCGTCCCCGCCTACACTGTCGAGTTCGACAACTTGAGAACGGCGCGCTATGAGAAAATGAGAAAATGCCCCGTGGGGGTGCGAGAGAGACGCCTCCCCCGGCCTCCAGGGAGGGCGCCGCCCTTGCGCCGCCCGCCCCCCGCTTGCAGTGTGCACGCAGCCAGTGCAGCAGCACTTGAGGCTTCTGCCCCGCCGCTCCGCCTCTGGATCGTAAAACACCAAGGGGGGAGGCCACCGCACTAAAAATAGAAAAATCTCGTTCGCGCTCACCTGTCTTGTTGGAGGAGCCGGTCAGTGACTGGCGGAGGTATCCTTTCCGGAGCTTGCCGCGACTTGGCGTATCCTCTCAGTATTCGGGCGCCGTATCCACAGTGGCGTGCTCGCTTTGGTGCACTGGCACTCACTCACTCGCACTCACTCGGCACCACACTGTCGGTGCAGACGACGCTCTGTCGCGTCCCGGCGGTCGCGGCGCGCGTCACGGCACCGACACCTGTGTTGACACGGTTCACAGTGTGCGCACGCTCCGCGCGCGCTCATCCCCATGACACCGCCGATGCGCAGACACACGCGCACGGGCTCACGTACATTCACGCACTCGTCACACACACAGGGCCGAGGTCCGGCTTCCGCGAGGGCTGGCGACGATGGCGGTTGGAAGTGGCCGGAGGCAGGGCTGGCGGCAAGTCACGCTGCACACGCCACGACACTGTGACACTGACACTTCGCGCGGTGCACGCGCCACGCTGCGGCACGCGGCGGCACGGCGACGCGGCGGCGGGAACGACCTCTCGGCTCAGCAGCCAAGCTGCGAATGCTGGCTGGCGGCTCGGTCGCCGGCTCAGCCGCCCGGCCGCCCCGCCGTGCCGGTGCGGCGGCGCGACCAGCAGCCGGCCGCCCAGACCGAGCTGGCGACAGGCGGCAGCCCCGCCGCCCCCTCCCCCCCCCGCCGGCCCTGCTGCCCGCAGTCCCGCAGCGCCTGGTGCCCCCGCCCCCTCCCCAACCCCCGCCGGTGTGTTTGGCTGCCCGGCTGCATTCTCAACCCCCCTCTCCGCTCTCCTCCTCCGGTTACCCTTCTTCTCCGTCAAACCGAACGAACCGACCAACCTCTCCAGCGCGGCCGAGGCGGGGCCGGCAGGCCGGGCAGGCTGCGTCCAGCCCGTGGGACAGCTTGACGTCCTTTCTTGCAGGGCCATTTAGGACCCGTTCGTCCACCTCCCCGGTGCTGCCGGTGCTGGTGCACTCCGGCGCGGTGCTGCGGTGCCGCTGGCCGACTTGGCGGACTTGGTCGGCTTGAACCGATTCAGCGACGGAATGCGGCGGCGGATTCATTTCGGGGATCACTGACCGCGCCGCGGGTTCAAATCCAACCGCCTGCCCGCTTTATGGGTTCGGAGGACCGGCCGGATCCAGGGGGGAGGGAGTGAGAGAGAGAGGGGGGCGAATTTGGCGGAGCGCCGTGTGCAGGGTGCGTCGCTCTGTCTCTCTCGCACTCGTGGGGCGCTGCGGCGTGCCCTGAGGGTGCGAGAGAGACAGAGCGATCGCGGAATCTCAAGATAAGGCGCTGACTGCCTGGATGGACACGCTATCGAGGAGGCATGCCTGGCGTTCGCTTGTCGCCTCGCTGCCGTGGCACTTCTTTACCTCACGGTCGTGTGTCTGCCTGTACTTCCCTGTGGCTGGGCGACGCAGACTGATTCCGAGAGTCGTTTTCGTCGCTCTGTGTCTCTGGCCTGGACGCAACGCCCCATGAGTGCGACAGAGACGGAGCAGCATGCTGGCTGCGGGTAGGCGAGGGAGTGAGGGGGTGGTAGTTATCCCCCAGCGTGGCTCGGGTGCATGCCCTGGTAGCCCTGGTCAGCAGCAGGCCAACTCGACAAGGCGATTTCGCCATCTAAAACACATTATTGCCCTCCGAGAGTCCGACCGAACGCGCACTTGCTGTGTACTATCGTGCACTTAGCGCCCTCTCACAGTGGGCGTTACACAGTACTGGCCCTCCGTCCCAGCACAGCGAAGCCTGGCTGGCCTGGGATAGGCCTGGATGATTCTGGTCGCGCTTGACCTATTCTCCAAATGATCTCGCGATGCAGTATTTAGTCGGAGGCGGTTTTTAAAGTCCCTCGGTTTTAACGACAGAGAGACAGGGGTATCGATTTGGAGTCGGTAAGTTACCCGCAGAAAAATACAGTGGACGGTCGAAGGTGCCACGTTTGTGCTTGGCACTACTCCGCGTCGCCAGCTTTACTTTCAACTCAAGCTCGGAGTTTCTATCACCATCGACGAGCACCCGTGACTTCCCTGCACACTGCCAGCTCGACCAGCTCTCCCGCAGCGACTGCGAGAGCGGCTCGTCGCTCTGTCTCTCTCGCACCCTTCCGGGGTTCCCCGTGAGTGCGACAGAGACAGACGGCTCTTGTATTTGGAACGATGTGCGTTTCCCTCCGTGCGGTTCGACCAATCGGCAGCGGTTCGGCTTGGCACGAGCGACGCCAGCAGACTGAGAGTCTGTCTCTCTCGCACCCACACGGCACGCGCCATGAGTGCGAGGGAGACAGAGCGACGACTCTGCGGCGACCACCGGAACCGGAACGACTCGGCCTGACTCGGCCGCGCGTCAACGTGGGAGCGCCGCAGCCGTCTCTCTCGCACTCATTCCGTGCCGTGGGGGCACCGTAGGGGTGCGAGCGAGACGGAGAGACGACCGCCGAGATGAAAGTTTTGGCGGGAAATGAAGCGAAGACTTTGAACGCGTTCCAGTTGCGTGGCACCGCAGCCCGACGCAACGCGACGCAACGACCGTGGCGACGACACCGCAAAAGCCTCCTTCTGACCGACGCCACCGACGGCATGCCACTCACAGCAATAATATTGGCGCCAATTTCGCCCGCCACAAACCAAAATTCGTCCAAATTCAAAAAAAAATTAACTTTTTTTTATGAAACTTAATCACCCTTAATCAGCAAAAAAAAAAAAGTTGAGTGACTTCATCGCCGCACTTTGGAAAAAAAGATGCCTGTACAGAAAATTGCAGAAACGCATGTAAACACGCACCAAATAATCAATTGATCGTATAACAGATGAACTGGAATCGGGCGGGGCTGGTCGGTATGCAGCCCACACGTCCGCGTCGCTAACGCGGCGCTAACGGGGGAATTCCCAGTGTAACACGTCGGGAGGGCTGCCTCCTACACCGTGAGTGGACGTGACTACGTGACGGGCCGCACATGATGGCCGCACCGCCGCGGGACGGAACGGAACGGAACCGAGTCTGCCTCCAGATTAGAGCAAAACGCTTTCGTTCCAGGAGAAAACAACGCGCAGCATAATGACGAGCTCTCGATCGGAACCACACACTGCGAGCCGCACTCGAACTCGAACTCGAACTTGAAGCCGCCTCCATCCAGTGTGACGCAATGTGAGGATAGAGACTCTGGGGGACGTTTTCACTGCCAAACGGTTGCCAACCTGGCAGAGTTGCCTACCTTTGCGCTTGTAGACTAAATTTTCCCCTACTTAGCACCTTTCTACGCTTTTTTCACGCGTGCTGGAATTTTTTTTTTCAACAGTGTACCACACTGTCCGGCCGGGTTCGTCCCCAGACGGTGTGACTATAAACGTGTCGGTGAGCTTCGCGGTTCGAGGAATCGCGAGGCCTCGCGGCGGCCGGCTGGCTCCGTCTCTCTCGCACTCACTAGAGGGGTGCGAGAGAGACGGAGCGTACTTGTTCGGAATCGGTCTAGGACGGGTCGCGATGCTTTCGCGCGGCCACGCAACTTTCTTTGAGGACATGTAACGCGCCTGGCCGTCCGGGAAAGGGACTCGGAAAGGGAGGGCCGAGGGACTAAAGGGCGCGAGATTCGATCGGACGCCTTATCAAGGGCCTTGTCCTCGCGGCGCGTCGCGGCGCGTCCGGCGGCAAGGACACTGCAAGGACGACAAAGGAGAAAACCGGGAGATTCTTGATTTTTTTTATTTTTTAAAGAAGACGACACGTCTTTTTTGTCATCTCGCCGATTGCGGTTTTTCCAACACATCTTCCCACCGTCCGTTATTCCGATAAATAATTAGTCGCACGTTGAATCCGTTATAATTGCGAAATGGATTTCACTGCGGGGGGGAATGCGACGATTATTATTGCAGTTAATTGAAGCAGACTTTCTACCATCTGGCATGTGCGCTAGGACTGGCCTGGCCTGCCTCCAGTTATGTTGAGCACACACAGGGAGGGATTTAGCCGGCGCGCCACTTCGACGTTGCTGCTCGAATTATTTTCCATCTCTCTCTCTCTCTCTCTCTCTCTCTCTCTCTCTCTCTCTCTCTCTCTCTCTCTCTCTCTCTCTCTCTCTCTCTCTCTCTCTCTCTCTCACGTGTAATTGGCGAGGCCATCGGTGCTGCATCGCTGGTGGCGAACGAAGAGCACCACATGGAGCGGCTAGCCTGCTAGAGTCGCTTTCCGTCGGGCGGGCGGGGGCGGGGCGGGGCGGGGCGGGGCGGGGCGCGGCGGTTCGCGCTGCGCTGCCTGCAGCGACGAGCAAGGTAAGACAAGACCCGTTCCAGTTTGTGTCTGGCCGATCCTATCTGTAACACTTTCATTTTTGCCTCAAATACGGTCGTTTCTGGGACGGCGGTCGCACGCAGGCCTCGCGGGCCGTAAAAGTCGCCTCGTTATAACACGGCGTGCATCGCCTCTCTTCATTTCGAGTGTGTCATCATCGAATTACTTTTATGTTACCTTTCTCTGCTAAAAAAAATTTTCTTGATTCGAAAAGTTGTTTGATGAAAAGTGAAAGGGAAAGCCTGTGACTGCAGTTTTCTGCATGCACTTTCTTTGGCGTGGATGTCCAGTGTTCTTGGCAGCCATGATTTTGAAGTGTCTGCTGTGCCAGGCTCTTCCGCGCCGTGTCTGCGAAGGGCTGCAGTGTGGCTGCACCACTAACTCAAACCGGCTGTCTCTCTCGCACCCCGACGCAACGTCCCGTGTATGCGGGAGAGACAGAGCGACAATGTTCTGGATCAGAGACTTGCGCAATGCCAGGAGTGTATCTCACGTTCATCGAACCGGCTGCCCAGCGGCCTTCTGTCTTCCATACAATTTGAAACCCCAGCGCCAAGTCCAGCACCGTCCAACAACGCGTCCTTCCCTTTCGCCGACACACCATTCCCGTCGACATCCAAATTTATGGACGTTCCTCGCGAAAGTAAGAGAGCGAGCTAGGCCTCGCTCGCCAGACTCTTTTCTCGCTCGCCTACACTGTATGTGCGCGGCGCGGGCAGGGCGCCGCGAGTGTTTGAACCCGGGACCCCAGGGACACACCTCAGCGTGACACGCGAGACGAGGCGGAAGAACGGCAAGCCTTTGTGCTCGACACCCCATTCCAGGGGCTTGATATACGATGACGTACGTACCACGTGGTGAAGGCGAGTGATGCTTCCGACAAAGCGACATCACGTCCTGGTTGCTTGCATGTCACATTCCACGCTGTGAATATGAACCCAAAAATAAAGACGTAGGCAATGAGTGTTGAGTGTTTCAAGTTTTATAAGTTTAGAATTATGAAGAGGGTCTTGTACAGGTTCTTAAATAAAAAATCGTACAGTGAGCGGAAAATCAAAATTTCGATGCTTGACAGAATTTGTGACATCCCTTTCACCGTTCGCGAGGATCTGAGCGACTGTATTTCAACCGCGGGACCTCCCTGTCCAGTGTGTCAACCCTCTGGTGACGGGGAACGGTGAGCCTAAACGG